TATGGGGGTGGGCACTCTCTCAGGGTCCCCAGGAGGAAGGTGTCCAAAGAAAATCTTAATTGATGAGTGGATCTGTGTAGTAGGCAGTCCTTAGAAATCCCAGCCTTTCAGAATTCAAAAGGCCTGAAGCAGCCTGAAACTGAACCTCTGTGAACTGGCAGCTAGTGAACTTACATTTTTATTGTAGTGGCACAGTGGTGAAACTGCAGTACTGCAGACAAGACTCTGCTGACAACCTGAGTTCTGTCCTGATGGGCTCAGGTAGCTGACTCAAGGTTGAACAATGAACTGTAAAAGGAGTCAGGGATCAGCAGGGGGTGGATTCAAAGGAAGGGGGGCTGTGGGCTGTGGTACAGATCAAACCATATCAGACTGAGGGGACACTGGATGCCGGCATCAAAACAATCCACAGTCTCTGTGTGATCACTTAATTCAAATAGAAGCATAAAATGGGCTATCAGTCAAGCCATTGCCAGTGTAGTTGCAATCTTTTAAAAAAATGTTTTCTGCCCTTTCATAAAACAATAAGGGTGATTTGATCCAAAACAATAAAACAAGGGTTCGCAAGTAGCCAATATGTTTAGTAGGATCAACTATAAATTCAGAAAACATACAAGCTTTTGAATTTTCCACAGTTCTTAGCAGTCTAAATAAAAGAGAAAAAAGGGGTTAAAAGCCCAACAGTGTATAAAAACATATTATGTTCAAGCTGAACAACTGATTTCTAAAACCAATACTGGTTCAAAATAGAAAACTAAGCAAGAAAAAAATCTGTCATTCAACAAATGGTGAGAACATGGAAATTCATCCTGTGCTAGCCAGCGAGACTGGAAGAGAATTGGCTTGCTTTTTCCATATGTACTGTATCTCTTTCATTCTTTCAGAGTAAATACCTGCAGGGCTAACAGATGCTCAGTTGGATCTACCACAAAAGGGTATTGCGCATAAGGACAAAATAACACAATTTATTTACAAAATTGGACATTCCTTCCTATTCCAAAACCTGGAAATCTGTAAAAGTGCTCATAGGAAAGATTATGAAACATTTCAAGAAGAGCTAATGAAGCTATCTCAAAATTCTGTTATTCTCTAAAAAGATTCCCACCCTTTGTGGACTGCCAAAGTCAATTGCTTACAGATGTTTACATCACACAAACTACTGTATGTAATTCACTAAATAGACTTCCTATCTTTACAGTACCACGGAGACAATAATATATTGATGTATTAAAATGAGGGCAGAAGCTCCAGAAATTCAGCATTATGGCTACCTCAGCAAACCAAAAAAGATCACACTTGTTTTGCTTGGGTATATAAGGGTGCACAAGGTGTTTAGTAGTTTATTTTTCATAAGCTGTGCAGCACTTGAAGGAAGCATAATCTTTGAAGCTGAATGTGCAAGTAATTTGATTTACAGCCTACTGCATAGAAATGTGCAGAAAAAATGGTCCATAAGCGAAAGATATCAAATCACAAAGTATCAAACTATCTTTTTTTAGTTGACCATTTTGACAAGAAGATCTTCTCATAAAATGCTGCATATGCCAAGATATTGCAGAGTAATATTCAAGCAAAAATAAGTTTTTTTGGAGGATTGTCTTTTAGGTTCCAGGATAGTCTCAAAATACTTTTCTTACTTAAAAGAAAAGTTCCTGCTGTACTTGTGCACTTACAACACATTGGTAGTACTAAATGTGAATTTTAGTACATATGCAGAGGTATTATTTCCAGGGAGGGATGACTCAGAATTAACATCTTACCCTCTGGTTTTCTAGTATTAAAAATATTAGGAAAAAAGCCAGTGATGGTATTACACTATACATAATACTCCGTTGAACCTTAATTTTAGGACTACTTTCATGTGATTTTGAAGAAACAATGCTGCAGAGCTGTACTCTGGAAGAAACCTGATGCAACAAACGTAACTATTTAAAAGATGCTGAACACAACTAAGGTGCCCAGTTTATGGTGGCCAATGCAGCATTGCCTTTGAGAAATGAATCAGCAATACAAAGCTGCAGCTCCCAATGTGTCATTTCATACTCAGGTTTATCTCATTATTTCCTTCCTGGCACTTCTCACATAAATCCACTAGTCTGCAGCCATTGCATTTTAATTTTCTTCAGCATGAGTTAACACAGCTCTCAATCTTTGACATCTATTGGAAGAAGGAAGATAGAGATTTAATGGTGAAAAACTGAGACTAGATCCTAACCACTTTTAACTGCCACTTATTTCAAGTCTGAGCGTGTTATTCTGCCTGTAGTGCAGTGCAGGGAATTACTACAGAATAGGGAGTATAAGATGTTTCTTTGGTAGGTAGCATATGTTCTACAGAAAATTTGTCAGATATAGTAGCCTTGCTAGTAATTGGGACTAAATTATTTGGTATGGGGGCTTTGCAGCAGTCCTTAGGAAGGCATACAGTTAATTACAGTATTTAAAAATCATGGTCTACAGTCATATGTTCCAGAACTAAAAATATTCCTATCTCAGAACATTCCCATAAAAATTAATTGTAGTTCATCTCCAATCCCACTAGTTAAAAGACTAATGGATGATAGCATGACTACAAAAGACTGTCTTCATGAGACTAAGCCCAGTACTAGCACCTGCCATCCTAGGTTAGGAGACAGCACCTAAGTACATTTGTCTGGGGTCTTCCACATTAGGTTGCTGGAGGTAAGCCTCCATTTACATTTAATGTATCATTCAGGAGAAATTATTATTACTATTACTATTATTTTTATTTATTTATTTATTTATTTATTTATTTACCGACTATCTAGTCATTTCGACCACTCCAAGCGGCTAGAATATTAGGGTTTATTAGGCATAATGGGAAATTTTAAATAGTAACTCCTGGCCATACTGGGAGTACTGTTGTATCATCATTGCCAAGTAAACCTGAGGAGACCAAAGAATATAAGAAAACTCACACCAGAGGGTGCCTACAACTGCCTCAAATCGGAGTATCCCTGCTTTGAGATCCTGTAGAGTCAATTTCAGTTGAAAAATTGTAACTGGACTACATGGGTCAATTATCTGACTCAATAGAAGTAAACTTTTTATATAGTCACACACTTGCCATGTCAGTTATAACAGGTGGATAACCTACAGAAGTCTGTGGGGAATATGTGCCCATCTCTCCATGCTTCCACAACCTTCCACCCCCAAATTTCCAACAGTGGTTGAAGATCCTAAAAAGCATAGCATCAACACATGAACACTACAACACTATTCATTTGTTTTGAAATTTGGAATCATCAACATAGTTACAGAGAAGAAGTAACTCACCTTTGCACAGAATCTCACCATCACTTCACCTGCAAAATCTCCTAAAAAGGTCCACTTCTTAATTGCATCAGAATGTTACACTGTTTCATGGCATAGTGGTACCACATTTTTACAGGATCTTGCTGTCTATTATGTGCTATCAAGTTGCCTCTGATTTACGGCAGTCCTATCCATGAGCCATCTCCAAAATGTCCTGTCCTCAACAGCCCCATTCAGCTCTTGTAGACTGAAGGCTGTGGCTTCCTTCATGGAGTAAATCCATCTCATATTTGCTCTTCCTCTTTTCCTGCTATCTTCAATTTTGCTTTGTATTTGGTCTTCCTCTTTTCCTTCAACCTTGCCTTATTGTCTTCTCCAGAGAATACTGCCTTCTCATAACGTGCCCAGAATATGACAGCATCTATACTACCTGCTATCTCTATTACTCATATTATTGAAAGGTTTACCTTCACACACATTAAACATGAATTGACCATAAGACCTTCTACACTTCTCTAGCCTTTGCAATTAAGAGTTCAGATATCCTGTACAGTATTTTTGGTACTGGTTGTGCAAATAATGAATTCAAGCTTTATTGTTTAAAAATAAATCTGTCACTGAAAACGTACTTATTTGGTAGTTGACAGGTACACATTTAGATGTTTACAGTATTGCTCTGAAATCCACTATTGGCTGTAGAAAGTTTCAGGTTCTAAAACTTGACTGGTTCTGGTGCTTTGTGAAGTCAGTTTTAGCTTTAAGAATCCTGAAAAGAGATCCATTCTCTGAACTTTCGCTGTCTTTATCAATAACTATTGGAACTAGGTTTGTCATTTCTTTGTTGCAAGGCTTAAAAGCCATTACCAGTATTATGACAAGAAATCAAACAGATACAGTTCTCCTTGTCCTTGCTTCTTTTGGCTTGGAAAACACTGTCTTTCTTTCCCACCTGACACGCTTCTGTTAAAGGCACAAAAGCTCTGACATTAAAAAGATGGCAATCCTAAATTAAGGTAGTTTTAATGTACAGTTTCTGCCTATAACTTCCTTACACTGAAATTATAACACAGTTCTGTCTATTGCCTTGAAGAATATTTACTGCTTAATAATGGAAGAGCCTTTTATGTCTTCAGATGAAAGTTTTAGAGCAACAATGTAAATTGTAATTACCACTCGTGAAGTAAGATCTGCTGAACTGTGTTAATCTGTGTAATTATACAAAATGATAAGTTAACATGCAAACATTGTTTAATCAACCAGTGACTCACTAAGATAGCAATCATTGTCAAAGTACATCAGCACTGTTCTACAAAAATTGCTGGGGCTATTCTGGATTAGTGATTCACAATCAACATATTCCAAAGAAGTAGCCATGTTGGTTGTGAGGGTTCTACTTTTGGCTCCATATTTAGTTCAAAGAAATTAGTAGATCTTTGCTGCTTCAAAACAGGTGAAAGATTTATTGGTGCATTTAACAATAACCAAGTGTCTACAACGTGACTATGAGTCTTTTCTCCTTCTGCCAACAGGTCCGGAAGGGGTTTCCATTCATCAAACAGGAATGGGGTTCCATGACTATTGTTCCATAGTCCTGGTAGATCAGTGGGGACCCAGTCTTTTATGGTCTGCCTCACCGGGCCTTCCAGCAGGGGCACGGTCTCCTCGTCCAGGTCGTCATCCCACAGGCTCCATCCATCTGTGTTGAGGTCATGAAATGAGAAGTCTGATGGGCTTTGTGACCACAAGCAATTAGGATAGCAAATAGTCTCTTAGAGATAGAAGTTAAAGAAGTAAGCCACACACAGGGCTGTCTGTCGGCAGTGCTCCTGATGGGTCAGAGGAAACAGAATGAGAAGTCTTCTGCCCTGCCCCCAGAAGGACTGTGCTTTTATTAACCTTACAAGCTCACAGATAGTTGACAGTGTACAGATAGTTCACAGAGTTCAGATAGGACAATGGTTACATAATGCCATTATGTTTGGCCCAAGGAAAGGCAATTTAGCAAGCTCTCTATCACCTATGAGAAAGAAGAATGGTGGGCAGTCATGCCCTTCAGAAGCAGCTGTGATGTCATCCAGGAGGGTTTGCCCTACTATTGTAGATTAAGCCAACATCTTAGCATCTTTGGGAATGGCACCCCCACACATCGGGGTCTCGGCTCTCCCAGGATACTCCCGGTAACTCCTTCTCTTCATCTCCCTTACTCTCCATTCTAATCTTTCCCTCCTTTCTCTCTCAACTGGTTCCTTTTCCTCTCTCAATCTCCTTCTCCACTCTCTTGCCTCAGCTTCTCCCCAATAAGAGAGTCTAGGTGGGATCTCCGCTCTTCTCCTATAATCTGCCTCCTCTTTGAGTACTCTTAATCTCTCCCATAATCCAGTCCATGGATCCTGCATCCACACCCATTCCCAACTAGGCGGTAACTGTTCTTTCTTCCTCTCTACCTCCCCATCCCTGCTTCAAACTCCACCCCCTTTTTCTTCTCTCTTCCCGCCTTTTCTCCCAGAACCTCCCTTATCATCACTTTCTGCATGTCTTCTGTCAGATCTTCTATCTCTGTCTCCTGCTCTCGTGTGGGTTTGGGGTCCACTTTCTTAGTTCCATGTAGGCTGTGTGGGTTTGGGGTCCACTTTCTTAGTTTTATTGTTGAGGAGGGACAGCTCTCCAGCGAGTGGGGTATACCTCTCACCCTCTGTCTCACATTGGTCCATCTCATAATTTTGGCAAAAGAAAATGGAGGAGAAAATACAAAATAGTGTAGCACTTTAAAGTTTTATTTCAGTGAGAGCTTTTATCTTGAATTGAATTTTGAGCCACAAAAGATCACACTGAAATAAAACTGTTGCTCTTTAAAATTCTGCATTATTTTTCCTTTTTTTCCTCTTTTGCCAAATCATAAGATGTTATAATGTGATATATGTACAGGTAGCAATTTTAAAATTCTATTGTTTTCACTACAAATGCCATCTCTGCTGCTCCAGGAAAATGTCAAGGTACAGCGAATTCTAGACAAAATTTATTATTGGCAGTTATTAGAAGAATGAATTGTTTTTCTGCCCAGCAAGGCTTCCCAAGTGATGTAAAAATGCCTTGGTTTAGGTCACTTGCTAAATGTGATCACCCTATTTATGTCTAAGGTCTCCTACAGGCATTTTTGTCTATCACCCATGCTCTCCTCCAAATATTGAGGGTGGGGGTGTTTTCCAATAAAAGGTCACTTGCACCACCCAAAACTTCTGGGGGGGGGAGAGAGTTAGCCACCGGAAACTCTTTAGAGATGCAGGGCAACTCCTGAAAGTTGCTCTCATGTGTCCTAGCTGTCAGTATTTGTTCACATGCTCTTTTCGGCTTGGACAGTTGCCTTGAAGTAAAATGACTATAACAGCAGGCTGAAACCATCCACAACTGAACAGTGGTAGGATAATGCAGTAATAGTATCTACGTACCACTCCACTGCTAAGTCAAAGATGGCTTAATTATGTCCCCTCTTCTATAAAAGAGTGATGGTGAAAGTAGCTTTCCAAGCTCTGTTTTTAGCCAATGAGATACGTACCAGCAAAATCAAGGACTACCGCCTCTTGCTTACTATGCTCTCTCTGTGGCTGCAGCTCCAGTGGGCATTATTCATGTACTGTGTAATTTTTATTAGTTACTATTTTACCAACAGCGAAACAGTTTTGTCCCGGTGAGACGAAACACCTCATCACTGGCGTGAGCCTGTTTAAAACATTTTGAATCTGTTTAATTAATTGCGAAACATTTATTTGGTCAAGCAGCCTGGCCTTTTGTTATGAGTCAGTCAAAACCTCTCTGGTCTCCTGTCTCAGGCTGGGAGAGGTAAACTGAAGGAAAGAGGATCACCCACGAGCAGCCATACTACCGAGCTCTGGCCACAAGATGGCGACTGCGCCATAACGCTTTGCCCCTTTTCCAGATCTTTCTGGAACCCAGTGAAGCTCCCTGAATGTGCGCGGAAATTGCCGATGTCGCAGCCGGAGCGTTCGCGGCCGCGTCGTTTGGCAGCCAGGCGCGCCTGCGCAGAAAGTGAGCAAGTGCCGGTTGGTGGCTGTTGCTCCGCAGTGAGAGAACGAGCGAGACGCGAAAAAAGAAGCCGCCGCGCGCGCGTCGCAGCCACACCGCCGCGAGCGCTTGCCCGGAGAGGCGTCTTCTACAGCAGCGGCGAGGAAGAGGAGGAGGAAGAAAGAGGAGAAGCGCACCTCAAGCAGCCATGTCCGTGGTGGGCATCGACCTGGGCTTCCAGAACTGTTACATCGCGGTGGCCCGGAGCGGCGGCATCGAGACCATCGCCAACGAGTACAGCGACCGCTGCACCCCGTGAGTACCGGCCGGCCTCCCCCTCCCTCCCTCTCCCTTCCCAGCCCCCGCCGCCA